GCCATGGAGAAGACCCCACTACCCTGCAATGTCAAATGTCTGCAATTCATTCTGAGTTGATGCCCCTGTGGCAAAAGCATCCCCACTTCCACCAAAGGCTGGATGAGAATTCCAACAGGATTTCAGGTGGATGCTGCACAGACCACAGTGATACTGTGTGTGGTGCCAAGGACAAGGAAGAAACACTCAGGCAGAAACTGCTGAAGAGGTTTCCAGAGAGGAACCAAACAGCTCCTACTGGGGCTGGATGCTGGGATCAAACAGAAGGGATGATTTGGTGCCCAGCTCTTCAGATCCAACTTCCTTAAGGTCTGGGGGAAAGGAAGGCAGGAGATGGGAGATATTGGGCAGACTGAGCAGACAACTCCAGCTAGACTGGGGACATGGGTACGTGCCTGCTCCCAGGTTTGCTCTACTGTGTCTTCAGTTCAGTAATTCAGACATGCTGGCAGCCAACAATTACAGCCGAGATAATTACGAGCTGATTGGCTTGATGTTGCTCTTGGCCAGAAGCAGTGAAAGTGTGACACATGACTGGGTAAGTAAATAACTAAAGATTGGCTCCTTAATTAATGCAATATTTTATGTTGAAAAAAATTCCACAAAACAGAACAACACAAAATCAATATTCAAACCTGACATTGTTCAATGGTGGGATCAGAGGTTAGTTGGTAAAAATAACTATGGCAACATGATGCCACTAGTAGCTTTGTTTAGTACTACCTAGAGTTAGGATTACTCTTTAAAAGAGTAACTCTCAAATTATTCACAACGTTGTCAAGCCAGCCCCATAAACAACAGACAGATTGAACTGAAGTGAGGAATCATGCAAGGATGTGTGTCTGGCCCTTTGAAAAATGCCCTGATTGAACAGCTACAAGAATTTAACGTGGATGAAACAAAATGTTGTTTTCCTCCTTTTAAAAAAAACCTCTTTGGACAACAACTTCTATGAGCAATTCAGCCCGAGGCAGCCACCAGCACAGCAGATTTCAGTGCAAGTGGTTCAAATAGCCAGTTTTAAGCTGCTGAAGATAAAATGTTGTGTGGAGACTTACCAAGTAACCTCAGTTATGGGTAATCTTAATCCTAAATTGCTCCCCAGATGAGCAGAATATTGTTAAAGAGCTCCCACTGTAGCACCAGCCCTTCTGGCAGCAAGGCAAGGGCTTGCTTGGCCAATCTCTTAGAGTCATAGAAGCACAGACTGCTTTGGGTTACAAGGGACCTTAAAGATCATCTAGATCCAACCCCCCTGCCATGGGCAGGGACACCTCCCACCAGCCCAGGCTGCTCCAAGCCCCATCCAACCTGCCCTTCAACACTGCCAGGGATGGGGCAGCCACAGCTTCCCTGGGCAACCTGGGCCAGGGTCTCACCAGCCTCACAGCAAAGAATTTCTTCCTCAGATCTCATCTCAGTCTCTCCTCTTTCAGCCTGAAACTGTTCACCCTCATCCCATCCCTCCCTGCCCTTGTCCCAAGTCCCTCCCCAGCTTTCCTGGAGCCCCTTCAGGCACTGGAAGGTGCTCTAAGGTCTCCCTGGAGCCTTCTCTTCTCCAGGCTGAACACCCCAACTCTCCCAGCCTGTCCCCAGAGCAGAGCTGCTCCAGCTCTCTGATCATTCCTCTCGGAAACCTAGAAAACACAAGAGTTCAACCTGCCTTGCTTGAAGAGACCCAAATTGCTTTGCAAAAGGTGTATACAGGGTGACCTGGGCTGGCAGGAGCCAGGATGCAACACTGGGAGGGCTCCAGGTCCACCTCTCGTGGAGCCTCCACCACCAGCAACAGCCTCTCTAGGGAGGGGACCCTCCTCTTCCTCCAGCTCTCAAATCCTCCCTCCTCCTGCATGAAGTCTTCTGGGCCATTCATGACATTTTGTTAATCTCTTTTTCTTTTTTTTTCCCATTTGCTTCCAGCCTTGGCAGGGTTTGAATGACACAGTGCCTGAGATGTACTTTCTGTTACTCTGTGGGTATGATGTACACCAGCAGCCACTGAATAAAATATAGAGATAGGGAAGCTGTGAGTAGTACAAACCCAACTTGGCTTTTCCACAAATACAATTTTGCTTGTATGTTCTTATTTATATTTCAGACGTTGGCAAGTTAAATCTGCCTCAGATCAGCCCACCTGGTATCAATCAACCCCCTTTCCCACCTGTGGTTTATTTTGCTTGCATCTTCTCCAATCTGGCTCAAAATACAAATGGGGTAAAAACAGGTTTTGCAAACCCTAGGGCAAGTGTAAATCTTTTCATCTTTTAATACTGTACTGAAACCTTTCTCTTAGCATGCCAATGCTGCTCTGCAGCCCCTGCAACGTGAGCATTGCAGCACGTTGCTGCTACAGGAAAACCTGGAAATAAAACCAACTAAAACCAGGCTGTAACAACTCCCATTGTTCCACTATCATTAGATTCCTGCCACTGGGTTATTTATGTGGCTTTCTTCTCCATGCTTGTGTCTAAGTGACCCATTCCTTCTCTGTGTTCACATCCCTGGTGCAATGTAAGGCTCCTTTTCAACTGCTTCCTCATTTTTCCTCTACACGTTCTCAGCTCCCCAGCGCTTCAGCGTCCTCTGTCCTGATGAGACTTGGGACCACAAGACAGCTGAGAGCAGTTTCAACGCCATGTGTCAAAGAATATGTTGACTAAAAATGTTGCTTTTCGCCTTAAAAGACTAAGGAAAGCACAGAAGTCATAACCCAAGGTGTTACTTTCTGAATCCATAACACAACCACACAGTATAAATTCGCATAATGGCACAAACTAAAGCCAAGCAAAGCACGAGGAGGGACGTGAGGCAGAGTCCATCATAAAAGCATTTCAGGACTAATTTTCAGTTGTGTGCTTTGCTTTGGCTTGGTAATAAATCACAGAGAGCCACTCAGATCACCCCAGTCTTGGCAAAATAATTGCCTTAGAATAGGTTTCCCCAGTCTGGGGTCCAAAGTGTGATGAGCACGAAATTGAACTGCATTTACTCACTGGAGGAAAAAGCCTGTTCCTCTGGTTTCCTTCAGAGCCACCTTTTGGATTAAACTCCAAAGATCTGGAGAAGTTGGAGGCTGGGAAAATACCTCCCTCCACGCATGCTCGGGATGATAAGTCAGCCAGAGGCTTGATTACATTTTGAAAGGAGCAGAGCCCGTCAGTCACGGGGACGTTGCTGTGTTCCCACCACCTCCCTGCCCCACACTCTGGCCTGATGAAATCCCTGCCCTTGAGGTGCCACTCAACTAAGTTAGATAAAAAAAGAAGGAACCACACGAAGGCAGCCCCACATCTTTTTTCCCCTATAAAATCAAATCTTACTGATTACCAGGGAGCTGAATTGTTCCCTCTGTTCCCAGGACAGATTTGTTGAGAGGGTCTCTACCCTGATATCCAGGACCTGTGCAGAGCAGGGTCCTGAGAGGTGCCCTGCAGCTCCTCCATTAAATCCAAGCCCTCCCTGTTGGTAGCACTGAAGCTGATAATAATAATTCCCATTCCCCTGAAAACCAGCAGGGTTCTGGGCTGCCAAGAACCCCAAGAGCAAAATCTCAATTGTAGCTGGACTCAAGTTGGTTAAAAAAGGATAAAATTCCAACTAAGATCGGATCCTTTTTAGCTACCTCTCCTTTCCATATGCTGAATTTCTGGGTTTGGTCAGTTTCTTTTCCCACCATCTCTTTTCAAGCAGCTGATGGGAGGGATTTTGAGCTGAAATGGGGCTAATGCTCCAACATCCTTAGGGAGGCTGGGGCTGCTTGTGCTGAGCTCTGGAGAGACTCAGGATGGGTGGCTGGACACCCCTTTTGGCTTCTGCAGAGGAACAGGGGGTTCCTGACCCTGGGAGGAGGTACTTCATATAACAGAGATGCCTTTTTCCCTCCAGTTATTCTGAAAAATGCCTGGAAAACCAGCCTAGAGAGATGGGGAACACAGAGCTGATGCGACTCCAGCAACCTCAGCTTGAGCACAACACCTGCTGCAGGCACAGGGTGTTTGTAGGATCAGGGAGATGAGTCTTCAAGCCAGGGCAACTAATTTCCAATCAAAGAAGTAACAAGACTTGCATCCTAAAAAATCCTTCTAACATTCAGATTCCAGATGCTAGAGGTAAAAGACATACAAAGTTTATATCAGTCCTGCACCTTAATTACACAACACGGGTAGATCATCCTCCCTGAGTCTATGATCTGGCACAATAACCTCACAAAACCCTTTGCTTTTTGGGAAAAAGAACACATTTCAACCCCTCTCTGTACTCAGGTAGCCTGAAGTTGCTGCAGACTGTGCTCTGCCTGCCTCAGTCTCCCAGCTCATTGACCATTCAGAAAGAAAAGAGGAAATTCAAGCCTTGTTGCAAACTTCACATGGAAAGTATTTTCTGCCCGACAACTCTCTCAGGCCTCGCTCAGAGGTGCATCGACAGGTGCCTGCAGAGGAGGGAGGTTTAGGTTTTGCAGGTGCAGGACTTCATCAGCAAACCACCAAAACAAGCTAAACCTCCTCTTCTGTCACTAACCTCCCCAGCATCCCAACCAGAGGCTGTGAGCTACGGCTGCACTCGGAGGGACGCGCCTCTTGGGTGAGGAGTGGGAGCAGGAACGGCCTCACCTGCAGCCTCCTACAAATATGTAAGGGGTGATGTAAGGGGTGAGTGTCAGGGAGATGGAGTTAGGCTTTCCTCAGTGATGACCACTGATAGGACAAGGGGTAATGGGTGCAAATTGCAGCACAGGAGGTTCAAGTTGAATATCTGAAAAAGCTTCTTTCCTGTGAGAGTGCCAGAGCCCTGGGCCAGGCTGCCCAGGGAGGCTGTGGAGTCTCCTTCTCTGGAGACATTCCAACCCCCCTGGCCACGTTCCTGTGTGATGTGCTCTGGGTGCCCCTGCTCTGGCAGGGGGGTTGGACTAGATGATCTTTCCAGGTCCCTTCCAACCCCTGTGATTCTATGATTGTATGATTCTCCCCCAGGCCTCCCCCTCGCCCCGCCTCCCAGCCCACCTGTCACCAGGAAGCTGCAGCGCCCGGCGCCCGCCTCGTTGATGATGTTGCAGTTGTAGAGGCCGAGCCGCCCGCCCAGCCGCCACTCGTAGCTCAGCACGCGCGTGGGGTACGCCCGCAGCACCCGGCAGCTCATGGTGATGCTCCGGCCCTGGCCCTGCCGGATCTCCAGGAAGGTGGGTTCCACGGCCGGGGGGTCTGTAGGAGACAGGGAGGGAGAGCAGGAATTAAGTCAGTGAGTGAAGGGTGAGGGACAGTTAGCCAGCTGGAGGGCCAGGGATCCCCAGCACAGCCCAGCACCTGTGGAAGGGGAGGTCAGGAGAGGTTGGTACCCAATCTTGCTAGATCTTAATCAGCTGGAAAGAGGGATGAGCACAGCCAAAGCATCACCTCCCAATCTCTGACCTCAGCCAAAGCATCACTTCCCAATCCCTGACCTCTCACCTCCTGATCCCTGACCTCAGCCAAAGCATCACTTCCTGATCCCTGACCTCAGCCAAAGCATCACCTCCTGATCCCTGACCTCAGCCAAAGCATCACCTCCTGATCCCTGATCTCAGCCAAAGCATCACCTCCTGATCCCTGACCTCAGCTGCTGAGTACTCCAAGGCTCCGTGCTGCTTCACCAACCTTACCCCTCGAGATGCAGCCCCTGCAGCCCTCCCAGAGCAAACACAGCCCCCAAACACAGGACTTTCTGGCTGAAGTCTGAGAAACAGGAAGCTGCAAGCCCTGGCTCAGTTTCGATGAAGCGCACAGGGCAGCAGTGTCACTGGCACAGAGCTGAGGCAGCCACTTCTTCTTCACTGGGGAGCCTAACTTTGCAGTGGCAGGAGATGAAGCAGCACAGACATCCCTCCACTCTCCATCCCAGCAGCTGCCTTCAGGCTTCAACAAATACATAATCATATGTTAGTCTTTTCTTTCCACTCAGGTGGTAGTTTGGATACTCCAGTAAGCACAGAATGGGCCATTTCCCCATCACTTGAATTAAACTGCATGTTAAATTATTTAGCTTTGCAGCTACAACCTCTGATAGAATTTTGAGTCCAGCAAAATACAAACTAAATAAAATACAGCTAACACACTGTGAGTGCCAAAACCTAACCTCACCCTCCCGTGTGCCTTTTGGTAACAAACACTGCAGAAGAACAAGGGCAAGCTGGACAGAACAATGCTGGCACTCAGCTCTTGTCAGCACAGCTACTTAGATCAGGTAAAGCCCATGAAAAACCTGCATGTGTTTGCAAGTTAATGCAAACCCGTGAGTGACAAGGCATTCTGGCTCTTCAAAAAACGTAGCACATGTTTTTTTAGCCCATGAGAAAGAAGAAACCCTGAAAGCCTCCCGTGCCAGTAAGATACGTGAAGTCTTTGCATCCCTGTTAAAAGAGCAAAGGTCAAAACAAGCCATAAAAATCTAAAATCCCTGATGAGCTCTGCAAGAGAATGATCTTCATGGAGGATCTCCTTCCAGAAAGAGCTTTATTCCCTGAAAGTGTTCAAGGCCAGGTTAGATGCCATGATCTCCCCAAGAGCATCATGTCCTCAGGTTGGTTGATAGCTGCACCACAGATACCAACAACCTTCAGACTGTTGATATTTCATTCTCCACATAATGGAAGCTGCAAACAGATTCTCTCATTCTCTCTGTCTTCATCAGAGAAGACAGTGGTAGGACAAGGGGTGATGGTTTTAAACTGAGAGAGGGGAGATTGAGGTTAGATATCAGGAAGAAATTCTTCACTCTCAGGGTGCTGAGGAACTGGGATGGGTTGCCCAGGGAGGTTGTTGATGCCTCATCTGTGGAGGTTTTTAAGGCCAGGCTGGATGAGGTTTTGTGCAACCTGCTCATGCAGGGGGGTTGGAGCTTGGTGATCTTTAAGGTCCTTTACAACCTTAATAGTTCTATGATTCTATGATCAGCTCCTGTAAATTAGGAACCATAATTGCCCAGGTACTGCTGCTCACTATCTCTTGCTTAGACAGGAATTCAGCTAAACACAGAATACTTGAAATTAAGGTAAGTTTTGGAATCTGCCATATTAAACCAACATTGTTTAGAGCCCCTAATGTCCAGCTATCATATTTGTAGCTCACTGTAATAATCACCATTTGTCTTGAACCAAGTTTGGAATCACTGAGAGGGGACCACCATGACGTGGCAGCAAAGTGAGGCAGGAGAGGTGAAGAGCATCAGTGGTACAGGATGATGAAACAGCAGATCTGAACTCTGAGGACAATTGCCCCTGACTGAGACTCCCTACAAAATGACTGACAAATGAGATGATGTAGAAGCTACCAATCCAAAACCCCATCGATCCCAGCCTGGTCCCTCCTCTTCATAGACCAAATATCATATGGATTTGTATAATTTTGATGCCAGATTCTTAGCTTGTACATGGACTGCAGCACAGCCACAGATAACTGCCAATAAAGGACCAGAAATCCTCAATCCTGTAAGCCTTCCTCCTATTGATAATATCCCCCAATTTTGTGTCATCAGAGCATTCCATCCCAGCATGACTATTCTTTGTGCCCAGCTACAGAATAAAAAATAGCAAAGATAAACTCATAAGAAATTCCACTAGTCCTTCTCTCCATCCTGATCTTTGCCCTTTGAATACAACAAAACAGTGTCTTCCTCTGCCCTCACTGTGCAATTTGCCCTCCTTATTCTGCTTTACCAATAGTTTCCCAAAGCAGTGGCTGTGCAGGGAATTGTTGGGTTAAAGATAAAGAATTATTATTAGGAAAGAAAACATGTCAGATCTCAGCTTTTCTCTAAGGGAGAGCTGTTTAGCTCAGCAAGCTTGATCTGCTTTCCATAGATTATTGTGTTTTCCCCTCACCACCCTGTCTTACAAGTGTTTGTACTTCCCAAGTACTTTCTAAATCATGATATACAGCAGACATCAAAGAAATTACTAACCAAATTAACTAATATTTACCAATATCCAGTCATATCTCTACCCTGAGAAGTAAGGTCTCCAGGTTTTCCTTGCACTTCAGCCATGATAATTCAATATCCATAACCTCATTAGCCCTACTGCCTTTACCCTCACAGCCAGCACTTTTAAATCCAGACAAAATGATCACCAAGTTTAGTTCAGCCTATAAAAGAAAACAGGATAAGGATGGTCAAAGAGCAGCTGCCTGAAGACCCTCCTGGCCCAGCATCCTCCACTGGTCCTGGAGAGCACAGAGGACACTGCAGAGCTTTGGGACAGGAACTTTCTGCCTTCTGCATGTGGGATGTGTCAAATGGCCTTTACTGGAGGAGTTTGCTATCATTTTCTCCCATTACTTTTAAGCTTATTTAATGTTTGAACATTTAACACTTGTCTACATTTTGTAATAATGCTCTTTTCTTTCTTTGTTTGCTGTTTCCATTTGATGAACCAAATATGGGGCACAATAATTCCCTGTTCCCCTCTCCATGGCAGCTCTGCTTTAAGGACTCTTAGCATATATTGGCATTCAGTCTTCTCTTTCTTCTTTCTCAGGTTTATTTACTTATAAGATACTTCAGCCTTATAAATAGCTTTAAAATGAGAGTTTCCTGCACCTTTAAGGTCAAAGTAGTCTTTAAAATAGAGAATTCCCATCTATCTGTGAACAGACGATACCCAGTGACAGAAAAAGGAAATTAACTTTGGTTGCTCATTTCAGAGTTACACGTTTGCAGGTAATAACTTTAATGCAAAGGAAAGGGATGATAAAAACTACAATATATGATAGTAGCCAGAGTTTATTTTTCTGTTGGGGTTTTTTGTTTGTTTCTTTCTACAAGGCAGCGACTTCACAGCTAGTGAAGGGTGATTCTGAGATGCTCAGACTGAGACTTACTCTGCAGCTGCTTGGAACTTTCATGTGTTTAATTCATTTGCATGAGCTCTTCCCCAAGGCTTCAGCAATTTGATTCAATTTACTTTGCTGAACTTATTCCTATCTTTCATAATTCGAGCACTAGTTTTGGAAAAATATAAGAAAAGCCACAAAGGGAGTACAGCTCCTTCTCCTAAACAATTATCTTTGGGAAGCAAACAGTCTGGAGTTAAAACAGGCTTTATATTAATGTTTAATGAATTTTTTAGCCTTAGTACATTCGTGTCTTAAGGATTATAAAATGGAATGTGAAGCTGCTCCAGCTATCAGGAGAAATGACAGCAAGGATGCTTGCTTCTTTTGAACCAGACAGCTGCTCTTCATGGTGCAGATCATATCATGGTCTTTATTGTAAGATTTATAAAGGAGAAAACACACCATTCAGGCAATTTATTTTGACTGGGTGGCCCTGAGCAGAGAATTTACCTGCTGATTTGGTTTCTCCAATTTGTATTCTAGCCTAAGCAAATTAATTAGTTTCTCTCTCCTAGTTCCAGCAACAGGAATAAACAAGAACTGATCCCTCTGCTTCTGTTTCTATTGTATTTGTATTTTCTATTTGATTCACACAACAGGAATGTGATTCTAGCAAGAATCTCTGCCAGCCTCAGAGAAGGAGTAACCTCTAAATACTCAGGGGGTAGGATTTGCACCACAGAAAAGAAGATCAGTAAATGAGAAACCAGTAAATGATAAATGAGAGCCCAGCTCCTCTGGGGCCTGATGTGTGCAGGGGACCACACCTCTGCCTTGCAGAGCAGCCCATGCTGGACCAGGTGCTGGGGCAGGTGGGACCCCCACCCTCCCTGCTGGCCAAGGGTGCTAAACCAGCAGGTTTTTTAAATGCCAGCAGAGCCGAGACCATTTCAGCAAGTGCTGTTTCCAATCTCTGATTGAAACATGCTGTACATTATTTTACTCCCTGAGGGATGTGCAGTGGAAAGCCAGAGTCACTCCAGCTTAGCAAGGCAGCCTTTCTTCTTCCCTTTGCTGTCTTTTTTTTTAGTTCTTTTTTTTTTCCTTTTGCCTGTGGGGGGAAGTTACTTGCTAGGATTTGTATCCTGCCTGGCAATGAAGGCTTGGGCCAGGCAGTGCATTTTATTTCATTTTTTTTCTTTTGTGCTTGCCCCTGTGCCTCTGCTAGATCCTGCTCAGGCTCTGGAGGTTGCTCTCAGGAACACCACGTGGAACTTCTTTACCTTCCAGCAGAGGCAACACTTCACCTCCCAGGCCACATCAGTGAGCATTTTATAGCATACAAACTAGGTATTACACATTACACCGTTGGCAATGGAGTTGCTCTGCTTTTA